AGTCTTTCTGAAACTCAAGGCAATCTCTTAATCGTAACTCCTATGAAATAAAAAAGCAGATTACATACTTCCAAGATACAATGGCATAGAATGTATGTTTCCATTCCAAAAGGAAGGAATTGGCATAGAGAAGAAATACTGGACCAAAACCCTTAGATGGCTCCACACTTCTGGCTTTTCTGACTGCAGCATACATTTTTATCTTGGACTGGTTCAATTCCTTGTATGGAGCGCTCCTTAGCAGACAACTCATGGCTCTGACATCTACAACATCTTGGTCTCTCCAACATAACACAAGTTTCACTTTTATAAGTTCATGCAATGGCCTTTCAGGGCTTCATACAAGGACTCCTATGTCACATGCCTGGCCTCAGAAGTTCTCCTTAACTGTGGAGGATGATTCCATAACCCCTTTACTCATGTATCCCTCATGACTCTAAGGTCGAAAACATGTGTCTAACACTGCCAAGTTTGACTACCAATTTGGGGCTAACCCTGAGTCCCTTGAATCATATTTGCAACCACTTTGATTTGTTGTTGCTTTTTAGGGACAGAAATTTTCTTAGGCCTTTTCATAAGTTTCAGGGTTATCTGGATGGGATCTTGATGTGAGGTCACTCCTCACTTTATGCAACATGGGTGAGGCCTCACTTTGATCTCCTTATCTCTTTCAGCACAAGCCTTGGCTCCAACATCAAATTTCTCTTTCTTTATCAAGATGTATATTTTTATCCTCTCTGCGACTTGCTCTCTTTTTCGTTGTAGACCTGCATAAGAATGATTACATATAACCATGTGACAGAGTCAATATTGGGCTTTCTTGAAACCTCCTCCGTCAAGGAGATTAGCTCATTACTTTACAATTTATCCTCAGGCAAATTACTAGGACAAGGGCACAAGGCAGCCACATTGTTTTCCAACATATCCCAGGAATGGTGTTAGCTCGGGTGCTAATTAATTGTTCCTCTCTGAAACATCTTGAGTTGGACCTCCATATGCCACATTACTCTCAGCACTACCATCTTCCAAGATGTCTGTAAGATGGCCCATTAATGTCTACTTACAGTGTTCAACTGATTTTCTAGTTGAAAGTCCCAAAGATTTCCACATTTCTCAAAAAAATTCACATGGTCAGATCTGTCACAGCAATAGTCTCTTTCCTTGTACCAACTTCCATCTTAGTTACTTTTCTATTACTGTGACAAAACACTATGATCAAGGCAACTTATGAAAGAAAGTGCTTAATTAGACTTATGGTTTCAGAGGGTCAGAGTCCATGATGGAGGAGCAAAGCCCTGGCAGCAGAATAGCTGGGAAGTCACATCTTGACCTACAAGTAGGAGGTACACAACATACTGAGAATGGCTCCAGTCTTTTGAAACCTCCAAGCCTGAGATTCCCAGTGACATACCTTTTCTGACAAGACCACCACTCTTACTCCTTCCCAAACAAACCAGCCTGGAAATAAATACTCAAACAAAGAAGCCTATGGCAGCCATTCACATTGCATGTGCCATTTCCAGTGTTCCCTGTACCTTCTGCTTGTGGTTGGAGAAGTGAGTTCTCAGCTGTTCCTGCCATCATGCCTTTGCTCCACCATCATAGACTCTAACCCTATGGAACTACAATCCCAATTAAACACATGATTTGGTAAGTTGCCTCGATCATGGTGTTTTATCACAGCAATAGAAAACTAAGACAGTAACCAGCAACTTTCTGATTGGATTTGAGACACTAATATTAGAAAAGCAGAATGACAAGCTAGGCTATAGGCCCTAGTGGAGAACCTACTGTTGTCATTCTGCCAAGTGGCATAGAATTAAACCAACTTCTTTTTAAAAGTTATTTTATTATTTTGTATGCATGAGTGTTTTGTCTGCATGTATGTCTGAATAACTCATGTATGTCTGGTGCTTGAGGAGATGGTGAGACTCCACATGGGTGATGGAATTGAACCCAGGTCTTCTGAAAGAACAGCACATGCTCTTAACCACTGGACCAACTTTCCAGTCCTATAAAGCAATTTCTCAAGACTTATTTTTATGCTCGTAGACGTAAGTGCATCTCTGAACTCGCATCAGAGAAGCTTCTTGCAGTAGATGATGATGTCCAGAGACCCACAAATAGACACTGTATAGAAAACAGGAGATTGCAGAGTGTTCAGCAAAGCTGCTGGATCATCTCAGAAGAGGAGGTGAAAATATTATAAGAGCCAAGGCTGTAGATGACTATAGCAAAAACATTTGCTGAACACAACAGGGCAGTTGCCCATGTGAACTGCATACAGAAGACTTGCATAAGAACAATGCAGAGAAAATCCTAGGGGGAGGTGGTCAGGAAGTCCTACCCTTAGCTGAGGCAATTGATGCCTGCTGGGAGAATGAGAGTCAGTTTTCTTCAGGGGTGTGGCCTCTGTGAGGCTACCCATGCTCCAATAGATGGCCCTACACCCATGCACACACTGGCAGCACTAAATGAACTACATGGGTTTAAAAATCACAGAGAGAACACATGACACTAGTAGTGAAAAGTTATGGTGAGGATGGGGAGGAATTGGAGAGGAGGGATTGGAGGTGGGTTTGATAAAAAACACATTGTATGCAAGTATGAAATTCTCAATCAACAAAATATAAAATGGGCTGGCAAGATGACTCAGTGTATAAAGTTACTGCCAAAACTTGACAGCCTGGGTTTGATACCTGGAACCCACGTGATTAAAGAAGAGTACCAACACTCAAAGTTGTTCTTTGACCTCCATATGTGTTCTATGGAAGGTGCGTGATCACAGAAAGATGACACAAAATAAATACTTGTTTAAAAAAAATAAACAAACAAGTAAAACTGCCCTGGCTTCCGTTGCTGAGGTCATGTTTTAAATGCAGCTGGCAGATTAAATGAAATGGTTGGGGGGGGGCTTTCTCAACCTTCACCAGTTCAGGGTTTTGCACAACCCATGAGTCATTTCTTTGGTTAAATAAACTCCTCTAAATTCAATTTGCCTAATGTCTTTAACATTTCAATAAGCTTTACTAAAGAGTAAATACTAATTAAATAATTTTACCAACAAAGTAATACAGAAACTGTTCAAAAGTCCTTTGCAAGGCTTCATAATAGGGCCAGCAAGATGGATCCTGGAGGTAAGGGAGCTTGCTGCTAAGCCTGACAATTTAACTCGTGGGACCCACATGGTGAAAAGAGTGGGTTGACATCCTCCAGTTGTCTTCTTAGCTTCAAATGTGGGCCATGGCACACATATATACAAAACAAACGAATAAATACACAAACTCTCATATTATAATCAGAAAGCATGCATGCTGAGATGTAAATTGACAACTTTAATTTGGAGCTATTGATTTGAGACAAAGAAATTATTTTTGCTAAATAAAAAATGATTTATTTTATTTAGTAGTGTGTGTGAGTGAGCTTCCATGAGTGTGTGCATATGCAAGAAGAAGACATTGGACCCCTTGGAGCTGAAGTTACAGGTAAGTGAGCCACCCGATTTGGTTGGTGGAAACTTTTCTATTTGCAAGAACAGCAAATGCTCTTAATCACTTCAGCTTCTATTTTTTTCCTAAAATAAAAAAAAACACTTCATTTTAAAGTGTGTGTGTGTGTGTGTGTGTGTGTGTGTGTGTGCACGCGTGTGTATGCCTCACCACTATGGATACCTTGTGGAGTGCTCTGGAGCTGGAGTTACAGGGGGTTGTGAAGCTGCTTGTAATGGATGCTGAGAAGCCAACTTGGCTCTTCTGGAAGAGCAGAAAGTGCTCACAACAACTCAGCCATCTCTCTAACTCTATTTTTCGGTATCTTCAAATTAGTTTCATAATTATTATATTTCCCTTACTCTGTAGCTTTGGATGATTGAAAGGCTGCAGCGTCTTGGAAGGGATATGCAGTGATGACAATGAGATGATTTTATATTTTGACAGTTGTAGTGCTGCTTAGCGTGTAGTTATGATTCTTAAAACCTCCATAAGCCTTGGGAAGAAAACGAGTCTTTTAGTTTTGCCTAGTGCAGCTATAACAGATGATCTGAAAAAGAAATCAGACCTTGGTAGACAAAAAAACAAAAACCGAGGAATCAATAAATGAATAAGAGGGGCTTAAGCGATGGCTCAGAAGTTAAGGGTGCTTGCCGCTGTTACAGAGGAGCAGAGTTCCAACCCCAGCACCCACGCTGGGAAGCTCACAAGCACCTTGTGTTACAGCCCCAGTGGATCCAGCGGCCCTCTCTGACCTTCTAGGGAGCGCATGCACGCAAGCACATGCATAGTAGAAAAATCACTGAGGATCACAGAGGTCAGAGTACAAATTTGGAGTGAAATAATGTGAAAATCTCTTTCTCTTGAATATTAGTCTAAAAACTGACACTTCACTCTCTAAAC